GAGAGCATCATCAGTGGATTCAAAAAGTGCTGCATCTCAAATGCATTGGATGGGAGTGAGGATGATGTTCTGTGGGAGGAGACGGAACTGCAGGCTGAGAGTGGGAGTGACAGCGAGCACAGCGAGGCTGAGGACGTCTGTGAGTAAAAGCCTCATGCAGACTTTTGATGAGACATTACGTGAGCAAAGTTCTGATTGCATTCTAGTTGGAGTGTTGCAAGATTTCAGCTAAATGTGTCATTACAGTGTTTTTTTTCCCCAGTGTTTACGTAATTGCACAAATCGTCTTACATATAGATATTACCTTTCAATGCAGATTGCCTTAGCTTTGCATATTTTGCCAAACATTAAAGCACTCTGTGATTATTATTTCAATGAATTTCTTAGCACTTCAATATAAAATTGTTTCTTTAAACAAAGTAAATTTGGTTCATCAGTCTTTTTTTTCCCTAAAAATTGGTCCTGGAAAAACGGGGGTCGTCTTATCATCAGGGTCGTCCTATATTCGGGTCAATACGGTATTATTTTTCAATATAGTCCTCATTTACTTCATTTGCCCAGAGGGCCCACCACCTACAGGGCAGAAAATTGGGGTTGGGTGCTTTGCCCACCTGGTGGTAGGCAGGAGCGGGCATCCTGGCGTAATGCCCCCTGGTGCCATAGACTAGCTCTGAGGATGTGGAATATCCCCTCACCGGCAAGAAAGGAACCTGAGCTGGTGCGGGAGGTGAAGCGTTACCGGCGAGATATAGTCGTACTCATCTCCACGCACAGCAAGGGCTCCGGAACCAAACTCCTGGAGAGGGGTTGGACTCTCTCCTTTTCCGGAGTTGCCAACGGTGACAGGGGCTGGGCAGGTGTGGGGACACTCACAAGCTGAGTGTCGCCTTGTTGGAGTTCTCCCTGGAGAATGAGAGGGTCGCCTCTCTGCGACTGCATGTTGCAGAGGGGAAAACGCTGACTGTCCTTTGTGCTTATGCACCGAACAGCTGTTCAAAGTATCCGACCTTCTTGGAGTCTCTGGGCAGTGTTCTGGAAGGGGTGCTGCTTGAGGACTCCATAGTTCTCCCGGGGGACTTCAATGTTCACGTGGGCAATGACGGTGAAACCTGGACGGGAGTGATTGGGAGGAACAGCCTGCCCGATCCCAGCGTGAGCGGTGTTCTGTTATTGGACTTCTGTGCTAGCCACGGATTGGCCATAATGAACACC